GGGAACCATGCCTACAGCGCTGTCCAGGAGACCAACAGCGCTGTTGAACGAAACACCGTCAACCAGCTTGAGCCAACAATGCTGTACAATACACCAACAACGCTGTCCCAGGGAGTTCCCTTTACCTTTGCTTTCCAGAAACTTTTTCAACATCGATGTCCATTTTTACAAATTTTTTCTCCAATCGTAAAACAGCGATGTAGAGAAACCCAACATCGCTGTTTTAATGGGTTCAAACCCTTACACAATTCTAGAAACTTTTGGAACATCGTTGTAGGGTACCCAACATCGCTGTCCAATTGATTCCTGTTTTTTTTAAAACTTGACGCAGAACAGCGCTGTACAAGGGCACAACAGCGGTGTCCTAGAACTTCTATCTCTTTTCCTTTAATTATCATGTCTTTTATTGCTTCCGTTGTACTCCGCAATTTCCCAATTTTATTAAATAAAATTATCTTTTATCTTTTTGTTAATGTCAAAAGGGGGAAGAAAAGGGCTATGCATATACTAAGGGGGAACGCCTCTAACGAGACCGTTTGATTTTAAACCCTACTACTTGTTTTATAAGCACAAATTAAGGGGGAACTTTTTCACAACTTTTTGAATATCAAATATCCCCTAGTATGCATATCCCCGTCTTGTTTGCCATTATCAAAAAGAGGGAAATTGTTGGAACACGGGTTTACGTCTACGTCATACTAAACCGTGTTCGTTTTATGACAGGTTTTGATAATGCCAAACCGCCGTGACATAACAAGGTTAACGTGAGCAAAACCAAGGCGAAGGAACATGGCATGATGATTTGAGAACCAAGAACCAAGAACGAAGATTTAGAATTGTATTGAGTCGGTCTTAATGTGATCAAGACCGGCACAAACTTCCAAACCTTGGCTCTCTAGGCTCTTTTCATCAAAATGTTTTTTGCATATTCAAAAATGTTTTTCTTAGGTTTTAAACCTGCCAAAAAAACACTTGGAGTTTGCCTAAGCCAAAAACCAAGTCATCCGGCGTTCGGCTTTCAGAAACCGGCGTTCGGCTTTCGGTTTTCGGGATTGGTTTTTGGCATCCAAACCAACCAAGTGGTTTTCAACTTTTTATGATTGGGTTTTACTTTTGGGCATATTTAAACAGTTCTCCAACAAAAACGCTTCAAAAACCACCTTCCGTTTTTGGCCGTTTAGTGAAAACCATGCGAAACAACACAAACTTGGTTAGCCATGGTTTTCAACTAAATGACGTGGTTTTTTAGTTGTTTTACTTGATTTATTAGCAAAATGCAATAAAACAATGTTTTGAATACTTGGTTTTTATTTTGGAGAACTTACGTTTTTGACATCGGCTAACGGCATGACTAAACCAACCATGGGTCTGGCTAAACCAGCCCAACAGCGATGTTGGTGCAACCAACAGCGCTGTCTGGCTTGGGTAGCTGAAAACCATGGTTTGGCGTTAAGTCTTCCAACAGCGATGTTGCATATTAGACATCGCTGTTGAGCCAAGGTTGGGTTTCCAGAAACATCT